CTACTTTTGGACTCCCTAAAGGGGGGGGGAAGGGGGTGGCGGCACTACCTTGCCCCCCCTCCTGGAACCGCCGCTCCTTTCGCCCACGCCATGGCTAGCACCTGCATGCCTGGCCTTAAAGCCACTCTTAATCCTACCGCTTTGGGAAAGAAAACCCGCGTCGCTTCCTTAATAATCGCGTGCCGTCGAGTCAGCTCTGACTGAGGGCGATCCTTTCCCAGGTTTTCTAGGTAGGCGGTACTCAGAAGTAGTTTATGGTCCCCCCTTTTTTTCTGGGGGCCCTCCCGGGTCTGGGCAGCTTGCCCAAGGCCATACAGGAGATGCACCCCCGGGGAAATTGAACTCCCAGCCTCGGGCACTGCAGCCGGCCAGAGAGCGACCTAGCGCACTAAATGCTCTTCAGCCCGCGTGGCTTCCTTACCAGGTACCAAATGCCCAGGATGATGGTCCCCGTGCGGACATGGCAGCACAAGCAGCAACTGTTGGAATAGAAGCGAGCCCAGGGGGAGCTCGGCATCTTCATGGCGGGGGCCTCGGATCCCTCCAGGATGGCGGCGGCTAACGATTCGCAGGCGCCAAGGCCGGAACGCTGCAGAGGGAGAAACGCTGCTCCGCTCTCGCCAACCGCTCCGGGGGCGAAAATCTCTCCAAGGCGGCCGAACTCCCAACTGCAGGCGGCGGCGGCGGAGGAGGAGGAGACGGCCGGGCAGGCAGGCAGGCAGGCAGGCGCGCGCGTCCTGGGATCTGCGCAGCGGCCGAGGGAATGGGGCGGGAAATCGCCGGCCGGTGACATCTTTTCTAGGTAGGCGGTACTCAGAAGTAGTTTATGGTCCCCCCTTTTTTTCTGGGGGCCCTCCCGGGTCTGGGCAGCTTGCCCAAGGCCATACAGGAGATGCACCCCCGGGGAAATTGAACTCCCAGCCTCGGGCACTGCAGCCGGCCAGAGAGCGACCTAGCGCACTAAATGCTCTTCAGCCCGCGTGGCTTCCTTACCAGGTACCAAATGCCCAGGATGATGGTCCCCGTGCGGACATGGCAGCACAAGCAGCAACTGTTGGAATAGAAGCGAGCCCAGGGGGAGCTCGGCATCTTCATCGCGGGGGCCTCGGATCCCTCCAGGATGGCGGCGGCTAACGATTCCCAGGCGCCAAGGCCGGAACGCCGCAGAGGGGGAAACGCTGCTCCGCTCTCGCCAACCGCTCCGGGTGCGAAAAATCTCCCCCAGGCGCGACGCACCGGCGGCCGAACTCCAACTGCAGGCGGCGGAGGAGGAG